TTTTTTTTTTTTTTTTTTTTTTCTTATCTGTTTCCAAAAAAATGGAGCATACTGAATTTCTTGGATATTTTATTTATTATGAGTTGCAAACTGTTGCGATCTATGATTTGGTCATATCTTTTGGCTGTCCCTTGCTTGTTACATGCATATAACTGTGATGAAGGTTTGAAGATGGGGAAATCTTGGAATTTCTTTAGGCTTTGCTGTTTTACTTGTCTTTTCTTTAGTTCAATCACTTGTTGGTGGGAGGGTTCGGATATCTAAACCTCTTCGGTCAAGGGTACATGTCTAAATCAGTTGAGTAATGCTTAGGTTAGCTTATTGTTTTGGAGGTCGTAATGTAGAATCACGGTCGTAATCACTAGCGTGGGTTGAGCCTTTTGGCTCAGTTGAGGGTATATGTCCAAATCAGTTGAGCAATGCTTAGGTTAACTTATTGTTTTGGAGGTCGTAATGTAGAATCACTGTCGTAATCTCTAGTGTGGGTTGAGCCTTTTGGCTCGGTTGAGGGTATATGTCCAAATCAGTTGAATAATGCTTAGGTTAGCTTATTGTTTTGCTTGTTTTGATCTCTCCTTTTCTCCCTTATTGGGTTCTGGTTGCTTATGGAGGTCATAATGTAGAATCACGATTGTGATCTCTAGCGTGGGTTGAGCCTTTTGGCTCGGTTGAGGGTATATGTCCAAATTAGTTGAGTAATGCTTATGTTAGCTTAGTGTTTTGCTTGATTTTTCTTTTTCTTCTTTATTGGGTTCTGCTTGCTTATGGAGGTCGTAATGTACAATCACGGTCGTGATCTCTAGCGTGGGTTGAGCTGTTTGGCTCGGTCGAGGGTATGTGTCCAAATCAGTTGAGTAGTGCTTAGGTTAGCTTATTGTTTTGCTTGTTTTGATCTCTCTTTTTCTTGTTTATTTGGTACTGCTTGCTTATGGAGGTCGTAATGCAGAATTGCAGTCGTAATTTCTAGCGTGGGTTGAGCCTTTTGGCTCCATGTTTTCCTTTCGAGCTAAAAGGCGTCCAATACCAATGTTAATTGCCTTAATTCATGTGGGATATCTTAATCATAGACCATTCATGGGCAATACCACAACACTGGTAACAATAATGTGATTTTGTACCATGAATTTGATACCGTCTCTGGTTGAGTGATATCATGGCTGGATGCTTCTAAGAAAATATTTATCCCTTATTTTTCACCATGAGCAAGTTCATCTTTCATATGAGATTCGAAAATATTCTGTTTCAATCAGATCATTTTGCGCACGAACACGATCCTGTTCATAATGAAAAATCTAGTTTCTTTGCTTATGGTTGGTCCTCTGTAAATAGATTAGTAAATATTTTCTTTTACTGCTGCAGCGGAGTTCACAAGTACCAAAATTTGGTAAGTGGGACGATGGGGATGATGTCCCGTATACAGCCTATTTTGACAATGCCACAAAGGCTAAATTAGTGAGGTTAAATATGAACGATCCTTCTCTTGACCAAGTGGAGATTTTAGGCACAGTGAGGTCAAACTATGAGCAACACAGAATCAAAGAAGGTGTTCTTGTGAGGAGGCAAACCGAGTCTCCATTGCACCACGATGCTCCGGAAATGCCTGGTCGGGATTCTAATGGTATAAAGTCAACTAAGAGTCAGGGTCAACAAGCATCAAGGCCAAAGCATGCACAAGAAGATTTGAGCTTGGAAGATGGTAACATGAAGAAACATCTTGATTCCCCTTTGGACCATCAATCATTAGGTCGGGTAAGCTTTAACTCGCCTCGTCATCAACGTCAGGCTATCTCTCCACATCATCAACGCGAGGGCAATAACATGACCAGTAATTCATCGAAAAGGACTACGAGAAATGGTGTAGGTTCTGACTGCAGCATAGAAAATTCACCTCTTCATCCACGGCAGCATCTGAGGACTGAAGCAAAAACTGCGGTACCATCTTCGCCATTACGAGAAAGAAGGGGTTCAGGTTCGCCTAAAGGAGGTAGTCATGATGGTTTAGCTCCCTCAACTCCTGGAAGATCACGTCAACGATCGGTTCCTCGGGGCAATGAAAGTGTAGCTTCTTTTTCTCATTTCCTTTCAGTCACTCTTGAAATATAATGTTCAAGAGTCTTAATTTCAAGATTTGATGACATGACTTTGAATGACATAATCTCTTGTGTTTGATCTTGCAGCCGGATCGTAGTGCCACTGTCCCAAAATTTGGTGACTGGGATGAGAGCGATCCAACATCATCTGAGAACTACAGTGGCATTTTCACCAGAGTGCGCGAGGAGAGACAATCCGAGGACGGAAGTTTGCGGGTTGGGACTAATGTTTCTAGCGCCACGAGTCGTAATCAATCTGAAAATTCTAAGGTACGCCATTCTTTAACACGAAATTTTTTACTCTTATTTCCCGTTAAAATCACTACTGAACTTAAAAGCTCTCCGTGATTTACCAAATCGAAAGATGATGCGATCATGGATGAGGGGTTGGTTTGTTGGGTGTGATTATTTTGAAAATTTAGCCATTTTCAAGCAAAAGTTTTAGGTTGATAGAAGTTTTGGCGTACTTTTTCGCGGGAGTTGGTAAAAGTAAGTGATTTATTCTTCATACAGAGATGTGGCTGTTTTCCATGGGGGAAATGATTGCTCGGTGTCACGGTGAGTGCGATGATAACACTTACGAGTGCGATTGTGACACTTAACCTGATGTAACGGAACGGGAATGGTGAGGAATTGTTTAATGGAAGTCTGAGTGCCGGCAGGCACATATGGCCAAGAGGTCAGTGGCAAGGCTTTGTTTTTTTGGGTATATTCTCTACGATTGCCACCACCACTTTTTTATCCAAAACATTTATCATTGGTGACGACGTATGTATTATATCAAATATTATCCAAAGTGATTGAGTTCCTAGGTCAATGAAAAACTAGACTACCCATACGTCCTTGAATCAGTAACCATCTTTAGAGCGAGGATTAGATTAATATTGTTATTAGAATTTCAATTTATATACTAATAAATATGAATATTTTACTTTTATTAAAAATAAAAAAAAAATGAGTTGGGTCTAAAAATTACTATAAAACTCTCTCTCTTCATATGAGTTTCCTACAGTGTTGTAGGAAAGAGATTCCTAACTTGTATCAAATCAAACATATCTTGACCGTCAAAAAGCATCAATGGAAAGGGGGAGATCGCTTGGTTCTCATTTTATTCAACCATTCAATCATTGAGATCAAAGCTACACATTTAACATGTTTATAATGAGTGAAGTATTCACTCATTTTCAACCGTTTTTTTTCACATTTTTTAGGAGCTTTTCACACATGTTTCGATAATAAATAGCTGTCATATAACCATTTAAGAATACTCTAATAATTGTTATAGATCCCTATAACCACCTAAGAATGCCCTAATCGAGCCACCGACATCCATTCTTCATAAGCAAAGTCAGGATCAACGATCTAATAATTAACTCGGACAGTTGAACTTTGGTTCCTAGAACATGACCTTAACTTTCTGGCTCCTTAGGAGGTCAGTTTCGGTAATAGGAAAATAATCGTAAAACTAAGCTCGATTCCAATAGACGTTACAATATATATTTTAATCTATTAGCAAGAGCATTATAAATTAAAAAGATTACAAGGATTTTTAATCCTCAAAATCATTAAATTAAAAATAAAAATAAAAACATGTATTTAATCGTTAAAAATAAAATAAAAAATCTAAAACAATAATATGAAATAAAAACGGCGTACTGAATCCCATTCCGGCTTAATTATGGGCCGGAAAACTTAATGGGCCTGGCGAGAGCCCACGGCGGGGAGGGGCGGGGAAGAATAAGGGAAGCGCCGAAGAGGACAAAGAGCAACGAAGATGGCAAATAAAGAATAATTTCGAGGAAAGGAGGATCGGTAAGGATGTAAAGTTTTTCAAAGAAAACACCTCTACATATATGGAATGGAAGCCAAGATTGCTTTTATATCGATTGCCGCTCCCTCTTTCCCTTCCCCTTTCTCCCTTTCTTTTCCCCATTTCTTCATCTTCCGCTTCGTCTCGGCAAGTTTCTTGGGTTTCCTCTTTCGATCGGCCTGCTCCAGCCGCAGTCCGCCGTTCCGTTCTCCTCCAGGTACCATCTCCGTTACTATATTTGTTCATACTACTGTTATATTGCTCCAATCATGTTTGTTTTCTCTGATTTGTTGCCTATCTTTTGGTTTCTTGTTTGTTTTTGGTATTTCTGCTAGGTTTTAATGTGTTTGTGCTTCGTTCTATGTTCTCGATTCTTGCCTTTTTCTGTTATTCGGCCAAGTTCCGAACTCTTGAACAAAGTCAGTTGAAGGTTTTAGCACGTCTGTTTCAGATTCGAGAAGATGATGCTTTGAATTGCTTGTACTGACGGTTCAATTTCTTTAGGGTTTTAAATGTGTTTTTTGGGGTCTGGTTAGGGCTTAAATCTCAACAATATATTAACTAAATTAGGGGTTTCATTATTTTTATTTTTATTTTTTGATGTTCATTTGGGCCTTTATTTTTAAATCACAGTTTCAAGGGCCGTGATTGGAGAAGATAATCCTTGATATAATGGGTAAATAAATGGTCGATTTAGACGGTTTATGCAAGTATAAATAGTTTATATAAGATTAAGTTTGAATAATAGAAATTCAAAAAACGGAATCGTCGGTTTCATATTTTAAACTTCGTCACGGTTCTCCGAACTGTGTATAAATTAAACAGATTTTCATTTATTACCACTAAACAGGGTAATTTTGTTACGCACTGTCGTTAAAAAATTAAACAGATTTTCAATTGTGTATCCTATCAATATTCCTTTTCACTGGCCTTCTCGTCCTCTAGATTTTGTTCTTGATCAATGATGCGCAAGGGAAGAGAGGTCTGTGTTTTTTGTTTCGTTTTTTTAACGTTTAACTCATTTGTTCAATTCAATGTAGACTTATAGTGAATTACATTACCGATGATTCAACCTCGTAGTTATTTAGATCTGAATTACTTCTTCATTTCTGTGGATGATTCTACTTTTTCAGGTCTGAAAGACACAAAGGGCTGTCGGAATGAGCATTCAAAGTACAAATGATCTACATGAACGGAGAGCAAGAGTTGTTGAGAGAAGAACAAGATTGGACATTGACTTAAATTGTCCACCCCCAGATGAGTGCATTGACCCAACTGGCCCTCACGACGAAGCGGCACAGTACAATAATCATCACCGAGAACAAGCTACGGATGCGGTTGATGAGGACATTGCTATAATCTCCCCTCGGAAATTTGCTGAAGTATGCAGTCTTTTTGGTAAATTATTATGATTATATGTCTAACTAGGCCACATGAGGAATTTAAGATGGTGCCAATTTTTTTAGGCCAGGAAGAATTTTCGAAGAAACCACTTTGAGAGTAGCTATGGTGTAGTCGTCAGACGTAATGGCAGCACAGAAGTTTATAGTGCTCTCACAGGTTTATTTCCTTTTCTTTCCAATTCTTAAACTTCTTGATATATATTTCAATAGTTGGTTATTTCTCTCAGATAGTATGGCTACATTACCATTTCCCGGTATTTTATAAGGTACACTCAAGATGTTCTTTTAGAATGTTCAATATATTCACATTCTTGGATTTTTCTTATGTACTTTGAATCTTCTATATCTGGATCCACATGAATGGTTTAATAAAAATCAGTATAATGCATATTTGAATTATATTTCGTTAGGTAAGAGAAAATCTTATGAAATCAAATCTCTAGTTCTTAGCATGCAAGGCTGTTGTTTAAAGTTTTTATGAGCTTTTCTGGTCTCCTGTAAGCTTCCTCAAGATGGATCCAAGACCTTGTATTTACATAACAATCTTGGGTTTTTAATTTTATTTCTACTAATAATCATATGTTCAAAACTTGTTCTCTTTTCATTGCCTATCAGTTTGTCTAACTTCATTTGCATCCAATTGCCGATAATTTAACGAACACATTACTGCCCGAACTTTGAAAATTATTTTGATTGCAGTCAACTGTGAAATTACCATTCTTTTGATTCAAGGCCTTTTTTGTAGTTTGTCTCCTTTTTTGTGTCATGAATTAACACATTTATTATCATTTATTACTCTGTTGCCAATCTGCTTATGTGTTCTTATTTAAACTGTTTTCAACTATTTTGCAGATGTATCAAGTTGGCCCCCTTTTACAATTTGGTCGCCCCGTACGAATAGGAACAGTGTATCCATACAGGAACAACAAACAACTCACAACTTGGACCTCCGCTTAAGCTGTGAAACTAGTAGCAGGGCCACTAAGGTAATACTAATTTAGTGGTTATTTTCACCTGCAAAACTTGGAGTTGCCTGTTCATGGTTCAAATCTTTGGCTACCATTTCATCTCAGTATATTGAAACTGAATATAATGTGTTTGGAAAAATTCAGGCTTCATTCGATGAAAGTTGCATTATTGATTTCTGTTATTAAATAATGTGGCTGTTTACTGAAGATTTATTTGTTCCTTTCTTCTACACGGAAGTATAACCCAAATGGGAAAAAAGGAAAAAGAACTTTCCTAAAATCTCTAGGAAAACCTTGATTCAAGTTTTGATCCATAAAGTTCAAATCCTTCGGTTAATCCCTAGTGAATTTGGAATATCTTTTAGATGCTTTTCTTCCGTGCAAACATCTCAACCAATCTGGTAAAAATTTGCTTCATCTTGTGCAATGATCCAAGTTTCCGTTGGCACAAAACTTGGGCAATGATTTGAGCGAAGTCTTAACCAACTTCAAAACCACAAAATATTTGAGGTTCAATGCGTAATGATGCCATATCTGAAGTAGATCTATGATGTTAATCACTGATTAACATCATTTTCCCATCCTTGTTTAGTAGAACTTGAAGTTGAACTGTTATCTCCTTATTGCAGGTAAAAACTGACATTGATATTCCTTCTGCACCTGCACTAAGTAGTAGCCTCACACCTGCAGATCGGAAGTTGCGGTGTGCGATCTGCATAGAACCATTGGTCGAAGAAACGACGACAAAATGTGGGCACATTTTCTGCAGGAATTGCATTGAAATAGCCATTGCTACTCAACACAAATGTCCCATATGTCGGCGTAAGCTTAGAAAACGAGATATTATCCGGATTTACCTTCCTTTTTCGAGTTAAAAAAGAAAAAAATGAACACAACACAAGAATATTGCTTCTGTGTATTATGTATTCTTTTTCTGATGACGACAACGACGACTAGATTTGTACTTGCACACAGTTGCATTAACAAATATAGATTTCTTGATTTCTTTTTTCTGTATGGAATGAAACTAAAAACAAAAAACTAAAATCTCTTTGATGAGGTGTACTCTACTTGTATTTGACTTTAAATAGTTCATTGATTAGAAAGGGGTGAATGAATGATTTGGCCCTCTTCTTTGCCTTGTGGCTTTTGAACGTCTTTTACAATGCCTTTCTGTCTTCTTACTCTAAGCATATATATATATATTTTGTGTTCTCTTATGTTATGTTCCTCAGCCTGAACAAGTCCTTTAATAATGGCTTTCTTCTTCCTTGTTTATCCATGGCGGTTAAGAATCTCAAACCAGGTGCCTTTGCCTCTACTCAATTCTGCTTTTCTCCTTCTTTCTCAACCAAATTAACCAGAAATACTAATTAAGTCATCCCATTTTATCGGTCGGAGACTAGTCGAGGATTTAGATCATCTTTTGAGGTCTTCTGGGTGTGTGTGTGTTACATCAGTGTCGAAAAGTTTCCTCTTTGAACGGTATAATTTGAACTTGGCTTGGTCTAGAGCGTTCCCTCCATGAAAAGGAGTATTTTTATGCTATTTTAAACCATCTTTAGATGGAATCACACACCAATCATGCACCTAGTTGATTGTTTTTTTGTTTTTTTATTTCATGTTTGAAAATATATAAATTTAAAAATTGGACTTTGATTTAAATATATTCATGCATATAAATTGTGTTATTATTTTAACAAAAATAATTGAGTTTATTAAAATGAAATATTATATGTACCAAAGTGTTTATCTAGTGAAAATTGAATAAATTATGGAAATGGTAAAAATTATCTAAATTACGCGGTGAAAATTGATTTAAAGTCAATAATTTAGGGGTAAAAATTGAATTTTTTACAATATATTTTTAAAAATCCTTCCGCTTCTCAATTACGCGGGCAAAATCTTGCATCCAAAGCCCAATATTCAAGCGCTCGGCCTCCAGTTTCGGGTTTAGTTCAAATAAGCCGCCACGGGAATACTAAACATTCTCTCCACTTCTCTCCCGTTTTGAGTTTCGCCACGGGGATACTGATAACGCGAGGAATCTCTCTCGGTTCTGTGCGAATTCCGGCTGTCGATGAAGAAAATAATGCCGGAATCGGTGGAAGCTACACCGTCTGTGTCTTCAAGCCTCGATCTCTAAGCAGTTCGAAGGTTTCTCTCTGTCTTGTTTCTGTGTGCACTAATTACGTGTAGCAATGTATAATCCGACGTCATTTTTACTTAAACTGAAGTCGAATCCGCGAGCTAGAAGAGTTGCAGAGATCTTTGGAGGAAGATGAAGCTTATAGCACGGATTCATCAGGTTCTGAGAAGTTACTGAAGGAATGCGCTCTCCATCTCGAGGTTTTCTATTGCCGATTATTTTACATTTTCTCTCTCGTGTTGAAAGAAAAATTCGTGGCTCTTATTCTTTGAAATGTGCAGAGCAGGCTACAGCAGGTTCTGTCAGAATGCTCTAACGTTGATAGTTTCTTGGGGATTGATGACTTAGGTAATTCTGTTAAGCTTACTTATGAATTTACTATGGTTGAATGCATTTATGTGTGTGCATTTCACAATTTCGTCCTCCATTCTGTTAGATGAATTTTCCTTCATTTTAGTAACTGCTACTAGATTAATGATTTATGTTTCCTTTCCTGCGTTTTGATCGATTTCTCCAATGTTTTTTTTCCTTCACAACTTTTTAGATCTCTTTCTAGATGCATATGTGGAACACATGAAAGAGGAACTCGTAGCGGTGGAAGCTGAAAGCAGCAAAATCTCTAATGAGATAGAGGTTCTTAAGAGCACCAATATAGAAGGCAATCTCTTCGTTTATGTTTTGATTTATACTTTCTAGCCTCCTATTTGTACTGACGTCCTTCTTTTCCTTCCGATCACAGGTTCTAATAAATTAGAGGTGGATCTCGAATTATTAAATGTGTCGTTAGATCGTTTTACATCACAGGTTAGTCTCCATTGCAAAATAATTTGTACGACACCAACAGTTACTAGACTAGGATGAGCGGAGGAAGACAGTGATTTAACTTAATTTTTCTTAAAAGTTGCCTGACTTAAATGTTGAAACGGGATGTACCAACTAAATCCAACTATGGAAGGTGAATGTGACTTGTATTCATTTCAGTAATTGGGCGAATGATAAATTAGGGCAAAAACCAGATGGATGAAGCTCGAGGAAGTGTAATATCTGAAATTTTTAGACGAACTAATATTATGTAGGCTCTTGCTCCTTACGTTATTAAATTGATCTGCTTTATCATTGTGTAAAAATAAAAGAAAATAAACTGTACAATCTATTGGATTAGATATTCTGCCAAGGTGTTTTGAGACATTACTACTAATGTTTGATTTTTCCTTGCGTCTTTTTTTTGTTGTTTTGCAATGAATTAAGTTCATTTTTTTCCCTATTTTCAATTTGATTTTGAGGTTTGATTTTCTCTATTATTTTTGGCGTATGATTAACATAGCTTGTTTATAGGCCTAATAAAAGTTCCTCCCTAGTGAGAATGTCCGTCACCATGTTCTCTTCATTACTATCTTGCAGGATCCTGAGAATGAAACATTTAATTTCTGCTCTATGAATGGTGAAGACCAAATGAACGTGATAGTTGACCGTGAATGCAATGCTTTTGAGGTCTTTTCTATTACCTTATTACTTCTTTGTTTTTGTTGTCACATGTTCTTTTATTCAATTTTGATCAATTATAAGCATGTTTCTAGGGAGCAGTCGATCTAATGAGCTTAATTAAGGTCATGGTTCCATTTACTGTTTCAATCATGGTATTGTAGCTCAATGAAAAACTATATGTGGTTTGACTAATTCTGAAGTGGTTCTTTTCTTCGAAACTCTTTATGCTTCTTCCAGGTTTTGGAACTTGATAGTCATATTGAGAAGAATAAAAGAATTCTGAAATCTTTGCAGGAAGTAGATGAGATATTTAAAAGGTAATATGTGTTTTGAGGTTTTAATTTTTGTATCCAAATCTCCCGACCTTCAAACCTCTTCAGTTATGCACCTTAGTTATGAATTTAAACCACTTCTCCCGATCCAATTGTTCATCTGAGCCTCAAAAATCTCTTTTCTCCACCCTCAGCTTTGTCACCTTGCCCTCAGGTTTGAAATATCATAAATCTGAAAATTTTCTCTTTGTTGAATACTCATTCCCACGGAGCATGAAACCTCCGTTTTATAAAAGGGATTATTATGATTATGCCACGATCCTATAGGGAGCTGACATGGTGTTGTGCTGTAGCATCACTGCGCCTTCTTGTAGTGCTCTTTTCTTGCCTTTTCGTTGTTCTGCAGAGCCCCACGATTCTGTAACAACCACCTAGGCACCATTCTCTCGGGTACAAGGCTCTTGCCGCCTTTGTATGGTCTTCTTCTTGCACACAGGCTGATTTTTCTCTAAATATCTCTTAAAACCTTCACTTTCTCTACTTGTTTTTGTTCTACATAATAAAAATTCACGTGCACAAATCTGACACAATGAACACAAAACTAACAGTCATCAAGTTATAATCCTTATGAATTATAGCCCACTAAGTGCTATCAATCTAGTAATGACTTCTCTCTCCCTCCCTCCTCATAACTCTCTCCCTCTAGTTTGGATGTTGTTGAACAGGTTGAGGACACAATTGGAGGTCTGAAGGTCATTGATGTTGCTGATAATTTCATTAGATTGTCATTACGTACACATATTCCAAACTTGGAAGATTTTTCAAGCTTACAGAGACTTGAAGGAATGATCGAGCCATCGGAATTGAATCACGAGTTGCTAATAGAAGTTTTGGAAGGGACAATGGAGTTAAAGAATGCTGAGGTATCCCTTTAATTGGTTATGTATCGTAACTAATTGTATCCAGGGTTATCATGGTCTAGTTCTTATTAGAGTTTAAAATTCAAGTAATTCCATCTGTTGGCACCTCTCTCTCTCTCTCTCTCTCATTAATGTAAATTCTGTTGGAGCTTAATTCATTAGTATTTTCACAGATCTTTCCTGGTGATGTCCACTTGCACGATATCATCAATGCTTCAAAGTCAGTCAGGTTTGTTTTCTATAAGATTCATGGATACATCTGGCTCCACTGTACTCGAGAATAATTGGGAGGTTGGTCTTTTATTTTACAGTAGTATAGCACTGACAATGTTACATACTTATAGTAGTCTTATTCGTTTACATATTCTTGTTAGATGTTAATTTGATCTACCTGCTTTATTAACTGGCGTTGTACTACTTTCACCAATTATATTGGTTTGCTAGAATCGTAGATGAAACTGTTTGAGTTGAATTGCAATGACATGAGGCATAATAATATGTAACTAAAAAAAGTTGGATAAATATCATATAATAGTGACATCACCTCTGTTTATACGTATTTGTAATGATTTGGTCACAAATTTTCCAGACTTTTTACTTATTGAACAGAATGCAATTTATCTGACCCGTTCATTTTGCTTTTGACTGAGCAGCAATTCATTGGAATGGTTCGTGAAAAAAGTACAAGATAGAATTGTTTTGTGTACTCTTAGGCGATTTGTTGTAAAGAGTGCAAACAAATCAAGGTGAGACTCGTAAAATTTTCAGATCTTTTGTATAATTAGAAGTAATGTATAGGATAGGTTTTTTTTTTTTTTTTTTTTTTTTTTTTTTTTTTTTTTTTTTTTTTTTTTTTTTT